TTCCTCTTCTTCTTCTCTCTCTGCTGTGAGCCAACATCTCTTCACCCACCCCACCCCATCCCCCTCAGTTCCCTGTGTACCAGATCCTGGCTTGCCTCAGGACCTTTGTGATCAGGGCCGGGAGCCCGAGGGTAGCTTGGCCGAGTGGCATTGCTTAGTGTCTCCATGAGATTCTAGTCAGGATATTTGCCACGGTTCTTGTTCTTAGGGTCTGACTGGGGACGGGCACCTGTCTCCATCCAGTGGTCAGCCATGGTGCTAACATGGAACCCTGGTCTCTTTCTTCCCTGTGGGCCTTTCTGTGACTCCACCTGAGCATCCAACATGGCTGCCACCTCATGCCCCAGCGCCACCCAGGAGAGCCGGCCTCACTGAGCTGGGCTTGGGGACCAACCCTGATACACTGTGGGAGGGGCACTCCCAGTGTAAGACTAAGCGGGCATCCTCAGGGGGCCTCGGGGAGGCAGCCCACCACACACAACCCTGTATGTGACTCGGCTCCCTGGGCCTTAGTCTTCCCTTTTAGCAAATGGGATCCTTGAAAGGTCCATCAGGCTTAGGAGATAGGATGTCAATCAGTAGCCATGATACGGCCCTATGACCCTCCATAATAACACGTGACCATGTACCTGGGCCCGAGGAGGCGCACTCAGTCTCACTATTAAATGAATAAGAGATGCTGGACCCTAGAGGCTTGGCATTAGGAGCGGGAATCGGGGAGAAAGAGGACGTGGGGATCTCGACCTTCACCCTGCCCGCCGTCGGAGGGGCCTTCAAGATAAACTTACTTTGGCAAGGATGATGTCCAGAGAGCAAATATTTATTCGGGACAGAGTGAGGGGGTGGTGCAGAGATCGTACCAGGCGGTTGAGCCGATGTGGATTTCAACCTTGGGTTTGGCCTGGCATTTGGAAAGTCAATATTTTTGAGCCCTCACAGTGGGCCAGGTCCAGGGTCCGACCTGCACACACAGTGGAGAGGGAGCTCTTCCAAGCAAACCTGGAGAACCTTCTTGCTGTGTGACCTTAGAGAAGTGAAGCTGCCTCTCAGAGCTGCCATTTCCCCGACCTGTAGAAGGGACAGAGAGGGGTGTAGATCCTCACCTGTAGAAGGGACAGAGAGGGGTGTAGATCCTCACCTATAGAAGGGACAGAGAGGGGTGTAGATCGCAACAGGAGGGTCCGGAATCCCGCTGCACCGATGCCCCTCCCCGTCCAGTCCTCACCCTCTTCTGTCTTATCACTGCCCCCCCCCCATGCTCCAGCCGGTAAGGGTTAAACCCAGTGAGCTCATGTGATCCCCTGAACACATGAATCATCCCCGTGGCTCCTGTGCCCAGCGTGGGGAAGGGGCAGATGCTGTGCCCCCAGGTTGCCATGGCAACCCTGCCTGTACCAAAACTGCAGGCACCTCTCGGCCCCAGATCCACCCTCTTGGGGAACTCGGGACCAGTCCCTTGCATCCCCTCCGGGAGAGGCAGCAGGGGCGGCTGAGAGGGTAAGAGAGGGGAGGAGCTGGTGGAGGCAGCTTAGCCCGGAGCTGGGCAAGTGTAGTCAGAGGCAGGGAGAGGAAGCAGAAGACGCCGCCAGGAGAGGGAGACAGACCGACCGCCAGCCACAGGTCCTCAGACTCCACCTGAAGCCTCAGAGGCACAAGCCCGATCCGGCATCCCTCCACTTCCCCGGGGCAGCCGCGCCTCCCACGCACATGCCCCCACACGCGCGCACACTCGTTGGCACACACTCCGCACGCCCAGCAGCAGCAGCAGCAGCAGCAGCATTTCTGCACAGTGCCGACTAGGGTGGGTAGGCAGTCTGGCACGTGAAGTCCCCGAGGGACAGTGAGCGAGCGAGTTGAGACTTGGGGGGGGGGGGAGGAAAAAAAAAAAACTGGGGCTGACGCCAGCTCCCAGGCGGCCACCTCCCGAGGCCCCTCCTGCATTCCTGGGCCGTGCACCCCTCGCCAAGACAGGGGGCTGATGTCATTCCCGGCTGCCGCCCGCCGGGCCAGGGGACCCAGGCCGGGTGGCTGCCTCCCTCCGGAAGTGAGTGCGCTGCCTGCTGGCCGGCAGATTAAGCTTCGGGTCTAGAGTCTCCAGCTCCCGGTACTGGTTCAGGTGAGAAGAGCCTGCTGGGGACTGGCCGCCCTCTGTGGTGAGTGGCGGTCCCCCCCAGGTGTGCATGGGAGGTCTACCTGCATGGAGGGAAGTGAGTTTGGGGTGCCAGCCCCCACAGCCTGCTCCTCATAGCCACCTGCTCCTCCTCGAATACAGCAGCGCTGGCCCCGGGGACTAGAACTGGACGTCCTGGTTGGCTGACTTGATGCTCTTGCTGGTGACTAGCTACTGACCCGTCACTGTCCCCGTTTTGTGTGTGCGTGTGTGTGACCCGTGGACGCCTATTGGGCCATGTTTACTTTACTGGGACTGATGCGCCCTGCTGGGTTTCCCGTCGGAGCCCAGAACTTCTTCCCAAGGACAGCCACCGCGGACGGAGGGACCAGGACGCTGGCAGCGCTGGCCCCCTAACTGCCTCGCCCGCCCCCCCCCCCACTCCTCCAGGCTGGCCTCATGGATTACCTGGGCGACAAACTCTCGGTGGCCCAGACGCACATGACCCAGTGGGTAGGCACCGTGAGGCGGTCCTTCCAAGAGGCCCTGCACGTTGTGACAGCCACGGTGGGCACCGATCGGAGCGGGGAGATGGCCGGCCGCACCCCGTTCAAACGCACCTCCTCCTTCAGACACCTGGCCTCCCGGAGCCGGGAGTCCTTCCGACGCTTCTCCGCCCGCAGCCAGCAGAGGTTCTCATCCCTCAGGAAGAGGCAGCCGGACTCCGAGGCCCCCGATCTTGTAAGCTGGGGATGGATGCGTGTGGTTTAAAATAGCAAGGCCACCCTGGGGAGGTCCCCTCCCTCGGGCACCTGGGAGGGGGCCGATTTGCAGTGGCAGCCGGAGAAGGACTTTTCCCCTGCCCGTGAAAGAGTGTGGTCCTGGGACCCTGGTGGGAAGTGGAAGGCTGGGGCTGGCCGCCCTGGGGGGTGCAGCACCCTCCTCCTGGACGCCAAGGGGGAACCAACTCAAGGCTCCTTGTCTGTGAGCAGGGCTGCTTCGGGACACTGCGGCCCCCACAACACATGCTCACACCTCTATTTTTAGGGACGCTTACTTGACACCTGCTCTGTCTCCCCTTGCCCGCCCAGGGTGACCAAGTAGTCTTGTCGTAGGCATGCTGAGTTAACGTTGTGGTCTGTTTGCCATTGAGCAACAGTGAGATCTCTGAGTGATTTCTGAGGGGAAGAGCCTTGGGGGGCCAGGGAGCAGGTGGTTTATCTCACTGGCCTGGGAGCTGAGGCTTGGTGAGGGTGGAAGGCTCAGGCCCACTTATCGGGTTCCATGCCCTGTCTCTCTTAAGGGCTGGGAGACCAAGGCGATAATAACCAGCCAGGAGAAAGCCGAGCAAGTGGCATCAGGCAGGCAGGTCTGGAGGAGGAAGGGTGTCTGCATGGGCACCCACAGCAAGGTGCGGGAAGTCTGGCTGGGAGACAGGCTTCTCTGATCTTTGATAACTTCGGGGACGCTCATCACGTCACTAGCCAGGATTGAGCTTAGCGAGAGCGCCCTGTGTCTTCAGAGAGCTGGCCTCTGCCCTGGGCTGAGCTGGCCCAGTTCTCAGGAGCATTCGAGGCCAGGCACCGAGCTGAGCCAGCTCTTGTATCAACCAGAACCAGTGGCCATGATGGGACCAGTGTGGGGCGAGGGAACCCCGGGCAGGCCCTCTGCGCAGTGAGGTCCCCGGGAGCTCACAACTGCCCCCAGAGCTGCAGGGACTTAGCTCGCTTCCACCGGCCTGAGTCACAGAGCAGCCAGGCAGGGGCTCACCCAGGCCAGAAGCCATGCTTGGAGGCTCACATGGGTGAGGGTGTCTTCCTTGTGTCTTCGCTCCTTTGGGGCCCCATCCCTTCCCTGAAGGGTGCAGTTTGGCTGAAGGAAGATGATAATCTCTGTGTGTGTGTCTCAGTTTCCCTGTCTGTCTCCTGGCCCTGTCCATTCTTCTTGTGCCCTGCTCGCCAGGGTTCTCTCCGGGGACACTGGCTCTGTTCCCTGCCCTCTGCCCCAATCCTTCAGGAGCTGTGTGACTTTGGACACTGTCCTACATCTCTGGGCCTCTGGAATGTGCTCACACGGGCACAGGCCAGCCTCCCTGGTGGCCACGCAAGTGCATGAGTGACTGACACAGAGTTCAGCCCCTCACTGTCACAGGGGACACCGGGCGGTGTGAATACTTGCTGAATTAGCGTGGGCATCCAGGTCCCTCCCACTTAGGCTTGGCCTCTGCTGTGTGACAGGCATGACTGGCATGGGCTCAACCCATTCTCAAGTCTTCGGTTTCCCTCTGTCCAGTGAGGGGACCCTGCTCTTGTTCTGAGATGGAGTGTGCCGTCAGCGCCCTGCTGGCACGTAGTGGGTGAGCACTTGTCAATCTCTTGGGTACCGAGCTGTCCTACTGTGTGGGGTGGGGCTCTGTGTTTTGCGACAGATCCCCCTGCATGAGGTTGGATCCCAGTCCACCTCCTCCCAGATGGTGACTTTGGGCGAGCCAAGGCCCTCTGCCCTCCCTGGACCTTCTTTCTGCCCTTCGAGAAATGGGGTTCTGGGCGGATAAGGCAGTGGGTGTGACCCCTGTCTCGTGTGCGAGACAGCCAAGTCCTTTCTCTCTACATGCCTTCAGAGGTTTCCAACAAAGCGGAGAATCTGCACACACACACACACACACACCCCTTTCGCTCTGAACTTGACTTAAATATTTGTCTCATGGGTGGGAGCTTCCTGAAGCCTCAGAACGTGTGGGCAGGTGGGGGCGGGGCTTCGGGCATTGGTCCTCCTACAGGATTAATCTCCGTCATCTCCCTCAGCTCTGTTCATCCAGAAAAGGCCCTCAGGCTGTGTTTGCAGGAGGCTCTGTGGCTGCCTGGCTGGAAATCTCTCCCCAAGCCGGCCTTGAGTCCTTGGCTGGTGGCTGGCCTCTAGCTGTCCCAGATAAGAAAGGCAGAAGATAAAACAATGCTTTGCCCAGCCCCGGGAGGGAGGCAGGAAGGGTCACTGGGCAGGGAAGGAGGCTGGATGTCTTAGAGGCCCAGAGAACCCGAGGAGGGAGGGACAGAATGGGGGCCCGGGGGACACAGACGGACACAGTGGTGTCAGTCTCAGGAGGCCTGGACATGAGGAAGAACCAGAAGAGTGAGTGTGTGTGTGTGTGTGTGTGTGTGTGTGTGTGTGTGTGTGTGTGTGTGTGTGTGTGGTGTGTGTGGTGTGTGTGTGAGGGGTGTGTGTGGTGTTGTGTGTGTGTGGTGTTGTGTGTGTGTGTGTGTGTGTATGTGTGTATATGCAGTGGAGGGGGCTGACTAGGAGAGCTCTGCATGCTGCACAAAGCTGGAGTGGACCCAGGCTGATGACCTTATCCAGGTCAAACCAACCCTTACTGCCTCACTCTTCCCATCTGTGAACTGGACTCCCCTGTTGACTTGTCTGGCCAGTGATTTGAGCCCGCCTCCTACCTTAAGAATCCCTGCTGTAGCGGCCACCCCTTCCCAGCTATGAGGACAGGTTCTGGAACCCTCATGGTACCCGAGTCTGAGATGCTCAAGTCCCCCATGTAAGCTGGTGCAGCGTTTGTGTGGTCTGTGCACAGCCTGGGGTACGCTCTGTCAGCTCCAGGTGCTCTCGGCACCCAGCACGCCACGGATGGCGTGGAGATGGCCCTGTCTGCATCCCCACATCTCAGTGCAGAGCCAGCCCCTACCTGAGTACTTTTCCAGGCAAGCCCCCGCACACACTTCTGGAGCCTGCCACCTTTGCCCAGGCTACCCTTAGCTGTGGTGGTAGCCCGTCAGTTAAGACACTCCCAGGCCACCTGGATAACCCGGGGTGACCCTGCCTCCAAGTCCCTAGCTTAACTGATCCGTGGAGACCTTTATTTCTGAGTGGAGCACACTTGCCTCCCTGGGGCCACTGTCCTAGCCACCACACCAGGCCCTTCCTGTCCGATACAGTCCGTCCAGCAGCCTGAGGGCCAGGTCATCCCCCTGCCTCACCTGGCCCGGGAAGCCATGACTTCTTGCCTTGTGGTCTGGCCCTACCTCCCTTCCACCCTGAGTCCTTGCCTCTGCCCTGGAGTAAACCAAGGATCTAGGAGAGTGGGCTTTGGAACATGGATAGTCTGGGGTCTGTCCCAGGAGAGGCAGGTGAGCATGCACTGGAGAAGAACTTACCCAGTCACCAGCCATCTCCTCCCGGTCAGGTGCCACCTGAGTGGCCTTTGCTTCTCCGGGCTACTAGAAACAGGAATAGGAAAGAAACCAGCTAGGGAGTGGGTGGCCTCCCTCATTGCTCTGGCCTCAGAAGAAGCGCAGAGGGGCTCCACGGGGCGGCGGGGGTGGGTAGGGAGTCATGAGGTGATGCTCAGTGTGCCAAGGAGGCCTGAGGCAGGAGCGTTGGACGGCAGGGCTGAGCCTGGCGTGCAGGGAGAGCTGCAGAAGGCCGGTGGTTGTGACACAGTGCGACAGGGTTGTGAGCGGGACAGGGAGGTGGACAGGGCCTGGCCACGCGGGGCTGGGACCGCTGGTGAGGCGTTGAGTCGCACTCTCCGGGGGTTTGCGACCAGAACGTGCCGTCATCAGTGTGGACCTGTGTGGAATGTTGGATGAGAACAGACTTAGTTATTTACTTATTAGGCACCTCCTGTGTTCCCAGCATGGGAGTCTCGTCTTCTATTGGGTGCCTTCTGTGTACCAGGGACAGACACGTTGCATTTCTTAAGCACCTACTACACGCCAGGCACGGTTTTTGCATCTCTCCTGGATCCTGGTCCCCGCAGAGGTATCAGTTCAGCCACGTAGCCCCTCCTCTCTCTCTCTCCTGCCACTGCCCACACAGAGCCCCCCCTGCCATGCATCCAGGCTTCCAGCTGCACCCCAGGACTGGCATGATGTCACTTGTCCATGGGACAGACAGTTTTCTTCTGGCTAGGCCCCTCCCAACCTCAGGTCTCTTTTCACCCGTCCTGGCGGCGGCGGAATGATGTCACTCGGTAGAGAACAATGGTCCCTTTGTGGACCCAGAGGGCCCCAAGGCTGGGCCCCAGAGCAGGTGCCTCTGGAGTTACATCGGGGTAGGACAAAGGACTTGGCTGCTCCCCTGGGAGCTGCTGGGCCCCTGCTGATCTCCCTGCCCCCAAAGTGGGGTGTGTTCACTTTCCATGTGGCAAATACAGGAACACATGAAAAAACAAAGTCCGCTCCCTCTCCCTCGGATGAAATCCACTTGGCATCCCAGCCTCTTCCTTCCTGTCTTTTTTTTTCCTTTCCTCTCCCAAGCTAACCCCTGGCCTCTGTCTCTTTGCCTTAAAGAAATGGACCGGTCCTCATGGCTCTAAGGAGCTGAGCTAGCTCCCCGGCGCCCTCCGGCCCTGGTGTCTGTGGGCTCCATTACCCACCGTCTGTCTGGACGCTTGGGTGTCTTCCCATTTGGGGCTGTGGGAAGGCCGCAGTGGGGTGGCCTGTGGCTGCTCTGGCCTCTCCGGCCTGTATCCGAGGCCCCCAGGGGCTCTCACTTCCTCCCTCCTTCAGCACCTCCACAGATGAGATGTTTTATTCAGACAAAGGCCTGTTGCTTCCTCTGCAGGAAGCTAGGCATATCAGGAAGGAAGTCTGGAATGTTCCGTGTCTCGGGGAGCGTGGTGTTTGGGCAGGGCGGAGAAACCAGGAGAGCGGCTCATACTGGGTTCATGTCAGCGCCTCCCTGTGCGCCTTGGTCTGCAGCCCTGCCCATTCCTACGCTGTAATCACTCCTGG